ATTCATGCTAATACTTTTTCACTTTTACTACAATTGAAGTACAATTTTGAAAGCAGGACTTTTACTTGTAAGTATTGTTAGTATTTGTACACTGTAGTATTCTTCCACCTCTGGATTTTACCCACATTTTTTAATTGATGCAGGTGAATCTGTTCATAGCCTGCTATGTGCTTCAAATATATAGTATTCTAAAAAAAAAAGTAAATTAAAGCCAACCTTTCTAAAAAGATAAGATGTTGAAAAAAGTATTTTATTTGGTCATGCATATTCTGTATCACCACTAGATGGCAGTAGTGACCTACTGAGTGGCTCTAATAAACAGCCTGCAGCTGACTGGTTTCTGCTGCTGTTTGCAGGTTGAAGCTCATGCATGCACTCAACTAGCAGTTATATTGACAACATGACGAACACATCTGAATGGATCTGTGATTTGTATTCACATGTGGATCAGAGTGTGTAAAAAAGCTTCTCTTTTCACTTTTTAACATCGCAGCCTATTCAAGGATTTACATTTATGTGACTTCCATGTTTTCTTAAAATACATTTTACATGTTTCCTCAATTGCATATGCCTTCCATTTTGGAACGTTCCATCAGAGTGGATGGAACTCCAGAATGGAACACTGGAAGGTTTTAGAAACATATGGACCGGCTTCCAGGGAAACTGTTCAGTTATTCACCTGAAATTGAGACGCACAGACACACATCTGTTGCTCCTCGCCGCCTTTTCAACACAAGCACGATTTGATTCAGAACTATCAGAGACAATAAGTGACATGTCAGTCACAGGTAAGCAGAGAGTAGTAAACAACAGTCAGTAAAGTCCTGAAAAACAGACTTAAGTTTATGTTTGCTCAATACACAGTTTTGTTTTAGTTTGTGGTTACAAAATAAGAACCAGGCTTAGTACTAATGTTTCTTATTTTTTTAAAACGAATGAAAGTAACATGTTATGGTTAGAAATATATGTTTTTGGATCTTAAATCTTGTACAGTAATTGAGTACATATTTGTGAATACTCCTGTTTATGACATAAATCTAAATAAATGTGCATTTTTTAAACACAATGTTGTAATAATCTCAGTAACAATTGTCTATCCTAATATGTTGTTCCTTGAAGTACACAATTAGTACTTTATTAAGGGGAACATGTGTGCTTAAAATGCTTAATAATACAACAAAGTGATGTTTTAATTGTTTAATACTTTGACTACTTCATTTCTCAATCACTACAGACATATCCTAAAAATGTTCATAAAGAAGAGTGTTGTGTTTTGTTAATTTGTTTCCCAGCTATTATAGAAAGCTAGTATAATTTGATCAATGTGATGTGATTTGTTTTGTGGACTGTGAAATGTAACTTAATTGTGTGTCCATTTCCTCCTCTCTCCTCTCCTCCACAGACGATTTCCCGATCCACGAGGGGACCCTGCTGTCCTCCGGCTACGAGGTGCAGGCCTTTCTCGGGGAGGGCAGCTTTGGTAAGGTGGCCATGTGTATGGACAATGTAACCAACACAAAGAAGGCCGTTAAAATATCCAAGGATAGACCCCTTTTCTTTGAGCGAGCTATGGAAGAGGTAGATTACAAACTCTTATTATAAAATCTGAAGTTACGTGTTGAGTTATTTTGAAATGAGAAACCTACAACCTCGTATTGAAGGTGACAACAAATAGCAATAATCACATTTTGTATTTCTTCCACAGATTAAAATTCTCCAGAAGCTGCAGACTCTCGATGCCGATAAATGCAGTCTGGTGAAATGGTATGGCTCGTTCTACCATGACAAGTTAACTTGTTTGGAGTTTGAGCTCCTGGACCTGAGTCTCTATGAGTACATGCTGCAAAGAAAACACAACGCTCTGCCCATAGCTGAGATCCGTCCAGTTTTACGTCAAGTATGTGGAATCATTCCTTTCTTTAGGAGCATCATTTAATTACTTGAGATTTAATGGGAAATCAGACCTAAAAATGTACATTGTTGTGATCCTAAAGCATCTCAATCTTTGTGTTTCTTCAGCTGACAACAGCACTGCTCCACCTTGAGGCCCTGGAAATAATCCACGCTGATATAAAGCCTGAGAATATTATGGTGGTGAACCGCTTGCAGCATCCGCTTCAGGTCAAACTCATTGACTTCGGCCTGGCTCGCCACGTGTCCGAGGCCGTTCCAGGGACTGCTGTTCAGAGTCTTTGGTACAGGTAGGAATAATAAAACATGTGGCACAGAGGCTGCGGCTTTGATGCAAAAATCGAAAGTCTGTTTCTGTAAAGGAAAATAAACAAAAGTGAGTTTAACAAGAAGTTTTCCTCTCCTCTCAGGGCACCAGAGGTCCTCCTGGGCATGGACTTCAGTGAACAGATTGACATGTGGTCTCTCGGTGCTGTGATTGCAGAAATAGCAGCAGGCTTTGCTCTGTTCCCCGTGGACCACGAATATGGCGCGCTTAAACTCATTGTGGACTTGGTGGGTCAGCCTCCAGATGTTCTATTGAACTGTGGGCAAAAAAGCAGCTTCTATTTTAACATTGAGGGGAGCTACAACCAGCAAATCTGGACACTTAAGGTGTGTGTGTGTGTGTGTGTGTGTGTGTGTGTGTGTGTGTGTGTGTGTGTGTGTGTGTGTGTGTGTGTGTGTGTGTGTGTGTGTGTGTGTGTGTGTGTGTGTGTGTGTGTGTGTGTGTGTGTGTATAAACATTGTAACCAAAACTTTGTCTCTCTAGACTCCATGGGAGTTTGCATTACAGACCGGGCATCATTTCAGAGGAAACCCGTTTTTTTACCTGAGGTCTCTTGATGACCTGGTAGAGGTAGGTTGTCTTTTTAGATAATATAATGTCATGACAAGGATTTCTCTGATACATTTTTTGACTGCTTTGCATCATTTTACAGGATTACTTACACATGTTTTACCTTCAATGTATTGCAGGTAATACCTTACAGACACATGGCCAAGAGAGAGGAGTTGCTGAACTTTGTGGACCTCTTGAAAAATATGCTAGTGCCGGACAAGTGCGGACGAATTATTCCCCTCACAGTCCTGGAGCATCCGTTCTTCGCTGTGGAGCAGGACCCTGAAGTCAGCCAAAGCATTGAAACCGTGATTGTTGACATGAGAGAGGCTGAGCAGAGTCTCACACCACAGCCTTCACTGACTGAGAGCTTCCAAAGCATTGGAAACGTAATCTTTGATAGCAGAGACTCTGAACTAAGTGTCACTCTGCAGCTATCGAAGAATGTCCAAAGTGTTGCGTTCAAGGCTGTGACTCTTCCCGAGCAAATAGTCTCTGCTCAGCCAGAAACAGTTTATTTTAAGCTTGAGGACGAAGCTGCTCACATGGAGCCTGGTAAGTCACATGTCTAAAGCCCTCACAGTCTCATGTGTTTGTAGTTGTTTGATCGCACTAACATCCTGCTTCTTTGTGGTTGTTCAGAGGTCATCAAAGTGACCAGCGGCGAAAGAAAAAGCAGAGTCAGGAGATTCTTGAAGAGCATCAGAAACGCATCAGAAACGCTCTCCTGTGTCCGCTGTGACAGCAACTGAACCAGCTTATTGACTGGTCTTCATTTATTCTATTGTTTTATTGTTATTGTTTTCTTTGTCAGTAAATATATTGACTTCAACTTAAAAAATACTTGTGTGATGTGTGGTGAACTTATAGAAGAGATGTACTGGTCCTATTTATTGTTATATATAAGTATATATATATATATTGTTATATTGTTATAGGTATTGTATTGCTGTTTTGTACAGAGAAATGTGAGCATTACATTAGTGCCAATATTTTAGTTAGTCTGACTATATGCTTTTGTTTTGAAGGCAGCTTTAGGCTCCAGGTCTTTGGTATTCATTAGTAGACAGGTGGAGGAGTGATTAGGTACCAAAACAAGTCATATTTGTTATACCAGGGAAAAAGAGGACATAACCTCATTCTCCTTTGTATTGCTTGAACATCAAAATATAAATAAAATAAAATGAACCAACACAATTATTGCCATGTAGATCCTGAGTCAGATTCCCTACCTGGTGCTTCATACACATTTACTTTTGAATAGTGCAAATCATGATTCATAATTGAGGTTCAAAGTCCTCATGTGTCCTGATGCAAGGTTTGAATGCAGTCCAATAAGAACACAACACAATGCAACAAATCACATCACAAATAAACTACTCTTGTTTTATATTTATTTTAAACAAGAAGTAATTAACCCTCCTGTTGTCTTCGCAAGGGCATTGAAGATGAAACGTGGCTGGGTCTTTCAGCATGACAATGATCCCAAACACACCGCCCGGGCAACGAAGGAGTGGCTTCGTAAGAAGCATTTCAAGGTCCTGGAGTGGCCTAGCCAGTCTCCAGATCTCAACCCCATAGAAAATCTTTGGAGGGAGTTGAAAGTCCGTGTTGCCCAGCGACAGCCCCAACACATCACTGCTCTAGAGGAGATCTGCATGGAGGAATGGGCCAAAATACCAGCAACAGTGTGTGAAAACCTTGTGAAGACTTACAGAAAACGTTTGACCTCTGTCATTGCCAACAAAGGGTATATAACAAAGTATTGAGATGAACTTTTGTTATTGACCAAATACTTATTTTCCACCATAATTTGCAAATAAATTCTTTAAAAATCAGACAATGTGATTTTCTGGATTTTTTTCTTCTCATTCTGTCTCTCATAGTTGAGGTATACCTAGGATGAAAATTACAGGCCTCTCTCATCTTTTTAAGTGGGAGAACTTGCACAATTGGTGGCTGACTAAATACTTTTTTGCTAAAGTAAACTAAAGTAACAAACCTGTTTTCAAAATGAAAGAAGTAGAAAGTACAGGTATTTGTGTTAAAAATGTAAGAAGTCAAAGTAAAAAGTCGTCAGAAAAATAAGTAGTGGAGTAAAACTACTGATACCAGAAAAATGTACTTAAGTAAAGTAACAAGGTATTTGTACTCCACTACTTCCCACCTTTGGGTACTGCTGACCTTTCAACACACAACCAATAAGATGACGTAGCTAAATGTAGCCACGCTAACGAGCAGAGAATTTAACTAAAGAAACGACACTTGAATGGCTGTTTTCACCGCAAAGAAATTAGCTTATCATGTAAATGCAGCTTTAGTTAGTTGCTGTGGCGTTTTCTTCTTCCTTAATAAATCAAGCTGCTCTTCGGGACTTCCCAAAAATGTATCAAATTCAGTTGAAACAGTCCTTTTGCGAGGGTTGAAGTTAAAATAAAGTATTCACCACCTTTCAGTCTGCCGTAGTGACAGAACAGGCTGCGGCAGAGCCCATGACGTTAGCACAAGTTAGCGAGCTAAGCAGCTCGAAATGCAAAATTGGTTTAAAATGGCTAACAGAACAAAACAAATGTAACAAGAGCTAAACAAACCAAGTGTAATGTCCTTTGCACAAATAATTTACAAATGAATGTAACAACTTGACAACACCAGACCAAATGTCAAAAAAGAAATACAAAATGGCAATCAATATAGCATTTGAAAATCAACGATTGAGTGCTACTTTGATGACACGTTGTCCGTTTCCCATCGGGGTTTCCTCACTGCGATGTCAGTGTGTGTGCTTGGCTTATTGCAGGAGTGTGTGAACATACTTTTCTGCTTGAGTGTCAGGTATGACCTGTTGCACCAAAACTTCACCGCAGCCCTCAGAAAGTCTGGATTCTGACGTTTCAACTCTGCTACCAGACTGAAGCACAAAAAAAACACAACGCTCACATCAGTGTTACAAATACCAATAACAATACTAATAAACTTATTTTCAGATAGGATAAAAAGTAGTTTCACTGAAAGAAACTGGGGGAAAAGTCCATTGTCTTTTGAATAGAAGCTGAGTTAAATTTGTGTTAGTATAACTACTCAAAGTGTGTGTGGATGTCACAACTCAAGCTTTGTTCACGGTAAGCATCCTGATGGCTAAAGAATATTCATCTCCGAAAACAACACAGGTAAAACTTAAAGCATTACAACAGCTCTCACCTGCATCACCCTGTGGTTCCTCTGGAAGTCTTCTTTGGAGTTTTGTCTTTTCTGTCACAACAACAATCAACAACTGTGATTGGAACCACTTCATAGGCATTCAACTCTCAGGACATAAAACTGAAACTATATTAGTACCTCTGTGCTGCTCAGCCTTTGACCTCTGACTTTTGCTGTGTTTGGGCTGTGACTCTGTGAGGAAGCGACTGATTCTGTCTGAGGGTATGGCAAAGGAGATCCCTGCTGCCACTTTCAGAGTGTTGATGCCTATCACCTCACCGTCCTGAAAGCAACACAAACATTAACACAGTTCAGAACAGTCTCATAATACACACATGCACACAGAAGGATTCACACTTGTACATCATGATCCGCAAAAGGATTCACACTTGTATTTCCGGATCCACACTTGTGTTTTTCAATGCACACACAAATGTGTTCCGTTTCATATACATGTAAATACAATCCAAATACAGAAAAAAGTTTTACATATGTATTTTTGATCCTCACATATTTGTTTTCCGTTTAAAACCTCTGAACCTGCAAACACAAACCGCTTTCTGTGCACGGATCGCTGTGCATTCGTGTGTGGGTTTTTTGAGACTCCCCTGACGGTCAGCCGATTCGTACTTGTAATTTTTTCTATCTATAGCCAATCAGATGTCTCCTCAATTCTAAGCCAATCACATGAGCGCGCCCCCACGAGGGTATGATTTATTGCATTCATGACACTTCATATACGCATTTTGCGCTGTCCGGTCAGCTCGCTAAACAGAGGGCGGAGCATCAGGTGATTATGCAGAGCTGCGTGTCTCCGTCAGACTCAGCAGCTGATCAGATCTCTCTCTCGCATCCGGTTATACTTCACTCGCGTTTATGTCCATATCGATCAGATCCAGCTCTCCTGATCGGCCTTTATAGAGAGCACCGATCAAACTATTAAGAGTGAATATCGGCCGATAATGACCGGCGGGGCTCCCCCGTTGACAGTTCACTGGCCGTTTCTCAATCTCGAGGAAACTGGCTTCCAAGCCAATATTTCAAGGATGCTACGTCATTGAGTGCCGCCGAAGGACTGTTCCAATCTCCAGCATACTTGGAATTCCACCGAGGCCGCGTCCTTGGTTTGGGGGTAATTTCGAGGCTGCACATGGGTAGACTTCGCGTCCTAAAAATACCCACAATGCTTTGCGCACGGACCAATTTCCCCAAATCTGTGGTGGAAAATGTAAGGCGGGGCCTCTCATATGACGCACACCTGCACACTTGCTAGCCTTTTCCACTCTTCGTTTTCTGAATGCCAGGAAAGATTCTTGCCTAGCTTCTGAAGCAAGTGATTTGAAGACATGTGCTACCAAGCAAGCATCCTCGCGATTGAGAAACGGCCACTGTCTGGCACTGGCTTCGTAGTGCACTGATCGATTAGGCTAAGCTAACCTGTAGCTGCTCCCTCCACACTCACAACAACTTCATACAGACATAAATAAAGCAGCTGTATTCGCCATACAGGAAACACACATTTAAAACGGGTTTGCCTGCCGTTTTTGTGTACTCAAGCATTCATCAATGGTTCGGAAAGTGGCGCTGTACCTTAATAATATAAAAGATTGTATTTGCGTGCATTTCCTGTTCGGAAAGTGGCGCTGTACTGAGGCTCCATGGACCAGTCAGCTCCGGACTGCGCAAAATGCGTACATGAAGCGCTACGTCATGAACGCAATAAATCTACCCTCTTGAGGCCATGCGTGAGGCTCGTGGGGGCGCGCTCATGTGATTGGCTAAGAATTGAGGAGACATCTGATTGGCTATAGATAGAAAAAATTACAAGTACGAATCGGTTGACCGTCAGGGGAGTCTCAAAAAACCCACACACGAATGCACAGCGATCCGTGCACAGAAAGCGGTTTGTGTTTGCAGGTTCAGAGGTTTTAGACAGAAAACAAATATGTGAGGATCAAAAATACATATGTAAAACTTTTTTCTGTATTTGGATTTTATTTATATGTATATGAAATGGAACACATTTGTGTGTGCATTGAAAAACACAAGTGTGGATCCGGAAATACAAGTGTGAATCCTTCTGTGTGCATGTGTGTATTATGAGACTGTTCTGAGCCCATACAATTAGACTGGACTTTAGTGTCGGGTAAAAAAAAGGCTTAAATATCATTGCCATTAGTACAAATATTACCTAAAGGAAAATAGTTCATACAGGTTAAAACCAGAAATGTTGCCATAAACAGGCACTGATACAAAATAAAGCAATTATTCATGCAAATGTTAGCATGGAATACAGTCTGATTCACGTCTTAAAAGGGGCTATTAAGCTTATTTTCAGGTTCATATTTATATTTTCTGCCTCTACTTTGAAATGTTTACATGCTTTTATGTTCAAAAAGCTCTTTAGGTTGTGCAGCAGCACCTCTTTTCACCCTCTGTCTGAAACCAGAGCCCAGTCTTTTCTGATTGGTTGACTGGCCAGCTCTGTTGTAATTGGTCAACTGCTTAGAGATGTCCCGACCCTATTTAATGATGTCACAATGTCGCGGAGGTAAACACTACAATGTATACGTTTCAGGCAGGCGGGGAGTGTGTGGCAGAGAAATGCATAATAGGGCCTCTTTCATCATTCAATTACATTATTTTATCCTTTTCTTCATGCAACAAGTTTGTATTTGTTATTTGAAGTGCAGATATTTCAAAAAACAACAAAAAGTCAATTTTAATAATATAAATCAAAACTAAAACTCACTAAATCTCCAAGCTTACAGTCCAGAAGGCAAATAAAACACATATTTATTCACCTTGTATTGTGCCATACTTAAATGGATCATAACACATGGTGTATGGAATTGATCTTCTGCAATCCGGTTCAAATTACACAGATTTATATTTATAGATGTCAGTTTTAGAGGCCCGAAAAAGGGCAAAATGCGGCCGTCATCAGACTGTTTTTAGTCTTGTTAATAACTAGAGGCCCCGAACTGCTGTGTAAAAGGAGGAAGGTGTCGGCAGTCAATGAAGGTATAAAACAGTCAATACAATTGTTCTGTGAATTTCAGCAACCACGAGTGGCCCTTGAGCGTACAATCATATATGAGCTAAAAATATTAGGCTGATCATAACACTACTCACCAAGTTAATAAGGGGTCCTCCAGAATTTCCATACTTCTCCCAGAAAAGATGAAACAATAACATTGACATTTTAAGAAATATGCAAACAACCAACATCGTTATGCAACAAAAAAGCTCATGTGCTGTGGTGTGTGCTGTGCTCACATTAATAAGGGCGTCGGTCTGAATGTAGTCCATGTCTGAGTCCTTGATGCCTAGCTCCTTTCCGTCTCTCTGGGCGGTGCTGACAATGCCGGTGGTGACGGTGTTCTGCAGGGCGAAGGGGCTGCCAATAGCAACCACAAACTCCCCTGGCCTCAGACCAGCTGAACGGCCCAGAGACAGCACAGGGAGCTTCTTCTGCTCCCATGTGGGATCAAACATACCAGCACAGAACAGACAGGCGTGACGAATGAAAACATTGAAATGTATTGAAAATAAATGTGCAATAGAGACATACTGGGAGAGAAATTAAGAAAAAGTGTTATGAAAACAAAACTGTCTTAGTATTTGAGATGTGGGTGTGAGAATACACACATTGGCGCGGTGTCTCTGAGTCACAGAGCGGGTGTTTAGGAAAGTATCTGGCTAAGAATATCTAGCAGAAAGCTGTCAAGGACACGTGTCAGGATGTGGATTATTGTGCAGTAGTTCAGAATGTTTTTGTACCATAGCATACTTTGATTTGGATGAAGAGAGAAGAGTGGAGGATGTTATGAGGATATGGTAGACTTAATGTGCCTGTGCTGAGTTTGTATGCTCTCACCTGGGGATTGACCTTGATGGTGGCGATGTCTGCCTTCCTGTCTACATGTCTGACCACAGCCTCGTATGCGTCACCGTTGTAGAGCTGCACGCGCAGCTGGGGCCGCCCTGTTACCGTGGCAATGGCATCCGTGGTCACCACATGAGCGTTGGTCACAATCACACCTGAGGGGGTAATGATGAAACCAGAGCCGCTGGAGAGACGCACGTGGTGACTAAACAGGGAGTGTCTGGAGACGGCAGAGAGTGAGGCTTACATTTGTAACACGTCTTATATTGGGTGCAGGTTGTGTTATGTTTCTATTGACAAGATGTGTGAAGGCTACCCAAATAATTATATGTATAATTTAAAAGGTTATGTATTATAACAAATGCCACACCTTATGAACATTTCAATGTGAACAACAGCTGGTGCTATTTTCTCCACCACGTCAGCGATGAAGTTGAACTTGTAGCGAGGGCTGCTGGGATGGATTGAGAAGCGACCTGTACTGGCATGAAGAACAAACTCCATTAATAATACACACACAAACACACAACCGATAGTTAGTTACTGTAGGATTAAATTACAATTTGAGACAGGCAATGCCACTAAAATTCTCAAATGTATTATCTAGTTAGTAAACATATACACTATGGAAGATAAATAGGAAGAAATATGAAATGGATTTAATATTTTTCACATTAAACATTCACCAAATCTATGCACGAGGAATTGTTTTCCCTAACTTGTTGTGTAGTACAACGATAAGGAGTCAAATCATGTGAGAAATTATTTTTAAAGCACTGCACTGTATAGTAGTGAAGTTTTTAATATTTTACACAATAAATATTCATAAAGATATGCAAAAATAAATGATTTTGTGGTGGTAAAACAAACAGGAGAACATTAATGTGTGAAGGGATTTTGGTAACTCTGTATAGCAGGGGATTTTTTCAAATAACACACCAATATGAACAAAATAAAATAAAAATGTTATGTACAACCAATAGGAGACCACTTATGTGTGAATTGAGTTTGGTAGCACTTTGCTATATCCTCCTGGGACCCAGCCCATTGAAAATGTCCACTGTAATGGACATTTTGTTAACATGCATCTCCTTTTACTCTTTTGAGCTACTCTATCAATCCCTGATGTGCTGTACAGAGGACATCCTGGTCTTTCCAGTGATATGTCGTTGGTTAAAATTGCATGCTGGGAAGTTCCTCTTTCACAGCACTGAGACTGCTCTTGTAAAGGTCTTCAATGACATCCACTTAAACACAGACAGTGGCAGAACTTCAGTGTTAGTATTATTAGATCTCAGTGCTGCGTTTGACACTGTTGACCACAGCATATTACTAGACCGACTAGAAAACTGGGTGGGACTTTCGGAAACAGTTCTAAATTGGTTTGAATCCTACTTAAAGGACAGAAACAACTTTGTTTCTATAGGTAAATACAAATCTGATTTGACAAATATGACATGTGGGGTTCCTTAAGGCTCCCTCTTGGGGCCTCTTCTCTTTAACATCTACATGCTACCACTGGCTCAGATAATGAAAAACAACTAAATAAGTTACCATAGCTATGCGGATGACACACAAATGTACATAACCATTTCACCAGGAGACTATTCTCCAGTTAAAACACTGAGTAAGTGCATTGAACAAATCAATGACTGGATGTGTCAGAACTTTCTCCAATTAAACCAAGACAAAACTGAGGTAATGGTTTTTGGAGCCAAGGCAGAACGTATAAAAGTTAGCGCTGAACTTCAGTCTGCAATGTTCAAAACAACAGATAAAGCCAGAAATCTAGGTGTTAGGGGTGTAACGGTATCCGTATTCGTCTCGTACCGTCACGGTTCGGACGTCACGGTTCGGCACACGACGAATACGCCACACGACGAATACGCCTTTTTTTTACGAGTGGGAAAAAAGTCTGTCATTCAGGGCAGTATCCACTACACTATTTATAATCCAGGGGGCGGTATTGCGCCTAAAAGCTGTTTACCAGCCGCCCTTAAACAACAAATGAAGAACAAGAAGAAACAACAACAAAACGAACAAAATACAAGAAGAAGAAAAGTTAGTATGGCGATTTCAGGTAACACACAGGAGCTAGAACCCACCTGCTTCTTTTAAATCAGCTGTGTGGGAACATTTCGGGTTCCCTGTGGACAACAACAACGATGAGTGCGCGAGTGGTGGATCGGACGAGGATTGATTGATTGATTGATTTAAAAGTTTATTAACAGCTTGTATATTGGGTACAGTACAGTACAGCTCAAAACATACAATTGTTAAGGGGATGCAGACCAGAGAAAGACTTTCGTCTTGTTTACATCAGGGTCCCCCATTTCCAATTCATCAGGACGGTGTGTCGGCGTTGTTCAATAGCGGTGCGGTATGCTAATTAAACACGCCAAACATGCTAAATCATATCAGAAGGCATCAGCCAGATTTGCCAATCACCGGAGCCCGGCAAAAGACAACAGCAGTTCAACAGCTGATCCCCGCTGTTTTTAAGAAGACAATAGACATGAAAGCCGTGAGATCAAAATAAATAACGGAAGCTTTTGGCATATGTTTTTCAACGACTATGCGCTCTTGAAACACTTTCTTATTATTTATGATGTCATATTTTCAAGACATCCTTTTTAGTTTTACAGCTTGATGAAACCTTTTTGTTTGACATCAGCCATTATAGATAATATGGCCATCTGAGTGTGTGTGGTACTGTTTGTGGTTTGTTTTTAACTGTTTAATACAGTTAATTATTCAAAATGTCAGAGTTCCTTATTTTTAAACTGAAACTTGGACTACTGTTCAAAAATAAATAACAACAAACCTGGAATTATGCATTTGGGACTTTTTTTTGCTTTTTCTTGTTGTACCGAACCCGTACCGAACCGTGACCCCCAAAACGAGGTATGAACCGAACCGTGACTTCTGTGAACCGTTACACCCCTACTAGGTGTAGTCATGGACTCTGACCTGAGTTTCAACAGTCACATTAAAACAGTTACTAAATCAGCCTACTATCACCTAAAGAATATATCTAGGATTAAAAGACTAATGTCACAGCAGGATTTGGAAAAACTTGTCCATGCTTTTATCTTCAGTAGACTGGACTACTGGAATGGTGTCTTCACAGGTCTCACTAAAAAATCTATTAGAAAGCTGCAGCTGATTCAGAACGCCTCTGCTCGAGTCCTCACTAACACTAAGAAAGTGGATCACATCACTCCTGTTCTGAAGTATTTACACTGGCTTCCTGTGTGTCAAAGAATAGATTTCAAAATACTGCTGCTGGTTTATAAAGCACTGAATGGTTTAGGCCCAAAATACATTTCTGATCTTCTGCTAAATTATGAACCATCCAGATCTCTCAGGTCTTCAGGGACTGGTCAGCTTTCTGTCCCCAGAATCAAAACTAAACATGGTAAAGCAGCGTTCAGTTATTATGCTCCAAATATCTGGAACAAACTCCCAGAAACCTGCAGGTCCGCTACAACTCTTAAATCCAGGCTGAAGACTTATCTTTTTGTCGCTGCTTTTAATTGAAACTGAGCCGTTGTGTTCATCAGTAAAGTGGAACTTCTGTGTGAACTATTCATATCTTAAACTGCACTGTAACTTTTTATTCATGTACTTTTTATTCATGTATTTTTTTCTTTTAATGTTTCTTTTATTATATTTTACTGTTTTTAAATGCCTTTGTCTGAATGTCTTTCATTTTTGTAAAGCACCTTGAATTGCCTTGAGTTGAAAGGTGCTATATAAATAAACTTGCCTTGCCTTGCCTTGCCTTTCTTTTCATCCAAAATGGCTGACATACGAAAAACAAAATTGTATAGAAGCAGGAGGAGAAGTCAAATATTGTTGAATAATTGTCATTTTTACCATGAAAATCATATATGTTCTGGTTTATTAACATGTGAGGAACTATATAATTAGTTCTGAAAGCAATTAAATAATTCAAGTTTTCAAATAACAGCCCTTTTATAAATGTCCATTCTAGTGGACGTCAGGACCGTCTTCATGGACTTTATGACTCGATATTGTTGCAGGAGACGGAACTGAAGCAGACATTTTCTGTACCAGATAGTTCAGGGAGATTCAGATTTTGAGCTCTCAGGTGATGAGAGAGATGAGGCTTTCACACCTGGGATAGAAGAGGGTCAAGAAGAAAGGGGGGAAAGATGCAGGAGGCTCCATGAGCGCACAGATACAGACAGAGACAGATAGGGATGAGCTGGAAAGACATGGCCCCCTGTGGGCCAAGAGTAGCACGTATGTCTTATTGTTGTTTTTATTTTAAGTGGAGCCATGAAAAATGAGAATTGCCTCAGGAATGCAAGCTTTGTTTCTATGAGCATGGTCAAATGGAGACCACATCCATAAAACTAGTCAAGATGACCCTACAGCCCGTGCTGACTGGAGTCAATGAGGTACTTTCCCACTACATTGACTACAAAGTCTTTGAAGATCTGGAAAGATTCACCAAAAAACAAGCTAGTTTTGTATTGACCAAATAAACAGCAATGTTCAGTTCAATTACTTATTCATGTTTTAAATAAAGGTGAATGTATTATTGTATTAATATCACTCTATAACCATAATACGTTACATAGTCCATCTGTTAATTTTGGCTGTCTTTTCAAACTAATATGGTCCCGACGTCCTCTACAGTGGACATACTGTAACATTTTAAAATAAAATAAAAAAAGTCTAAATTGCAAGATGTTTTTTTAACCCTAAATAGGTAGGAAATCACAAAAAAAAGGAAATATGAAGACACTTTTTTTCCTCGGGTCCCAGGAGGGTATGATAGGACCGTGTTTGGCTTGTTGTTTTATGAAAATTAGGGTTTAGCGAGTTGTTTACCTTACTACAGATGTTAGGAGACGTCGTTGGTGTTTGGTTTCCGAATAATAGATCAGTCAAGTCCGAATTTGTCAATATCTTTCCAACTTTACCGAACATTCTTTGTACTGATTTGGCACTGATAAGTATCACAGCGTGTGCTATGCAAAATAACCATCAGAATGCCGTTTAAGCACATTATCACAACAGAAAAATGTACTCAATTAAAAAAGTGTTATACATTTGGATGATCATCAGTTGCCCATCCCCCAAACTGTGCGCACTCCACGCTGTCCTACCTGTGGATGAGGATACACAGGGTCCTTTATGCGCCTGGCTGACTGCAGGTCTCCCCTTCTGCTCAGCTTTGCGGCTGGCCACTCTCGTCTTACACACATTCCCGTACGTTTTCCCGTCGCTCCCGCACACTTCATGATCCATCTTACACCGGCAGACCCCCTTGGAGCCTCGCCGCTTCCCCGCAGCGAGCAGCTTGCACTCCAGGCCATCCCCGCAGGGCAGGTCGCTCTTTCGGCCGCAGAGGTCTCCTTCGCGGGGGGAGCACACCATGCAACAGTTACATCTGTCCGGGACATACGCGCCGGCCGGACAGCTGGGGCTCGGACACGAGCTCACCTCGCAGCGGGACGCGCACCTTTCTGGACGCACAGCTCCGGTGAAGTCGTGCGTAAAGAGAAATGCAGCTGCGAGTAAAAGTAACTGCATTGTGATAGACTTGACAAAAAGTTATGGTGGATATTTTGGATTGTTTAATATCTCTTTCTTAATGATTTTCTGTGTTTGGACCCGATGGCTATACTTCCACAGATCGACTGGGCTCGTGTCCTCAGCTCTCTGGAAGTTTTACTCCGGACATTAGTCATCAGGGCCTGCCTGCATATTCTGACAACCTGGTGACTACATCACTTAGTTGGAGGCCACTCACTACATGTAGCTGATAATGCACGCCATCCAGTGGGAATAAAACGCACAACACTAAATAAAAGCAGCCTATTCCTCCAGTAGAGTAAGTGCATGTACTCAAATACTGGACATAATTGAGAAACACGTTGATGCTTCTATTTTATTATGATCTTCTTATGTAACTATATACTTCTTCTCTTCAACAATTCAGAGTGAAATATTGTACATTAATCTGTTCACGCTGTCTCCTCTGCAGTGGCGGTTCTAGACCAATTTGACTGGGGGGGCCAGGCTGGGGCCAGTTATTTTCTGAGGGGGGCACAATAAATGCAGGACGAAAAAGACAAAGACAGTATGAAGAAATTGTGTATAAGAAAACAAAGTAAAACAGTTATTGGTATTTGTTTCATTACACATATTTATTTGAGACACTTATAGTTACAGTTTGTACGCCATAGAGAATTTGAACGGCACTTATCATGGCTGCCACTGAGGGACTTCCGGGTCATTTCACTCGGTTAGGAAGGTTCCTAAGCTAAATGGACTATTCGACTGCAGCCTTGGTTTCTCCATTCTTATCTACCCTACCTTTAACTATTTTTAGGGTGCAGCTATATGTTTTATTTATTTCAAAGTGGGCCCATTTTAATTATATTTTTGTTCCTTCAAATGTGCAGAGGACTCCCCAAGTGCTGTGTTTAATTTATTTTAAAGTAGACCTGAGTATTATTTTTTAATTTAATAATTAGTTATTTGTTTCTTATTAGAGGTTAACAGTTTTATATAATGTAATAAATAATAAATACCAAAAAACTGTAGTTTTTGTCTACGATATAACAATAAATACAACTTTATAAGCTATCAAGCTATGAAATATGTTTTGCGGCTCCAGACAAAAAATGTTTTGGGAAAAGGGAGCAAAATGGCACTTTTGGTCAAAAAGGTTGCAGACCCCTGGGTTAGTTGAAAGCTATAATATCAAGTTTAGAAAAAAATATTAGGTTCAACTTAATATTATTGCTTTCAACTAACCTAATAGTTATGTGAAACTAGTAGAGATAATACAGTTAATTAAAATGAACATTTCAGTTTTTTCAGTGCAGACTACAGTTTAACTGTTTTAGTATCCTTGCGGCAAGCATTTCTCATATTTATTGCTGCTTATGTCGCAGTAGCCTACAAATCAAAATATAGATAGGCCTAAACAAATTCCCACAAATATACAAGTGCATGAGCCATTTGGTTAAAATATGACTGATGTAAACATGCAGTGTACAGCTTTTAACATGATTGTAATATTAGTCATTGTTTTTAGAGAAAGTGTTAAACAATTTGAGAGTGGTAGTGATATTGCATTTTACATTTTAAGAGATGCACCTTTTTATCCACATGGTGGCAGTATTAAGCCACGTGTCCTCTTTCTTTTTTTGTACTTCTGAAACACACACTAATCATATTGTAACATATGTTTTCATATATTATTTCTTCTCCAAATGCTTTGCCTCAGTCCATATGAGTGTGTGGTGACACTTTTCAACTACTTCCGGCATACTGGGGAGGGAGCATGTGGGTGTTTGCTAGTGCACGCGTTTCATATATTTATATACATTTAATTGACAGCAGTTAAATTATGAATGTGTTTGTGCTCAGGTGATAACATGATATCATCAATGCCTCCATTCAAATTAAAATGTTCTAACCTGCAACCTGATCTTTGAGGATGTGGATCGTTCCACTGCATACAAGACCAGCAGTGGAATGTAAATTAGTACATGATCTCTATTTATTGACCTAAATACTTAGTTAGATCTAGTATCTTAATTAAATGTTATGCTTCTTTATATTTTGTAGGTAATAGGTCTATAAACCTGCTTTAGGTTTTAAATCTGGGACTTTTTTTAATGTTCTTCCACTTTAAAGTCTGATATACTGTACATATTTTATTAGTCATTTTCTTAGTGGTTTTTCTTGTAAACCTGTTTCTTGTAAACATTTCCCTTCTTTTTCCCCCCTAAGCGTGGTATCAGTACTTTTACTTCAGGAAATGATCTGAATACTTCTTCCATCACTGTCTAAGTCACAGCTACAATTTGATGGTTGGATTTAACTGTAATAATAAAGGGAACAGTCTGGTTGGTTTGCATTGGAGTTATTAATAGCTCACTTTGAGCTAATACTCCCGTCATCAGTTAATCATTAAGGTTCAATGCTCCTGGTGTGGGAGTGGAAACTGTCTTTGCTGAACACACCTTGGTCGACAATGTTTTAAGACGTCACAAGACTCAAATTCCCCACATTTTTATTTTTCACCTGTTAAATATACCACTTTTCTTATACAATCATTGAGTTGGAAAAGACATTTCAAGATGCATACATAAGAAATCACAACAGCCTCGAGCATGTTGGAAATATTGTCCTCTGTTTAGTTTCTTCTCTTCATAGAACGTATCATAAAGGGCAGGAAAGAGGTGCTGCGCCTTATAAGGAGCAATTAAATATATGTCAAACAACAAATACATTCATTGTTACGAAAAAGAAAAAGTATATTTTGACAGCATTCACTCGTATTGAAATGTTCAGGAGCAATAATCTATATAGAAAACGTAAACAGATTACATTCAAGCAATGTTGTTTTTTTTACTAAGTCCTCCTTCCCCAAAGTCTATATTCAAGTTTCAACGATATTCATTTTCTTGAGGCTTTTAAATACTCCGTCCACACACAGATTTTGGCAGTAGTGAGAGTTGAAGACACTAGGTTTGCGTTAGATGCAGATTTGAAAAACTAACACTGGGTAAAAATAGCGCTTTCACCCAGGCTGCTGAACAAGTCAAACACTTCCAGCAGTGCAAGTGCATCTATATTTTATTAAGTAATCCTACAAGGCAAAGCAAACAGTTTGGGTGTTTATCCCATACTAGGAACAAACTGTTCCAAAATTCTAAAAAAAATCACTTTCGATCCCCAAACATACTGAACCACAAATCTGTCAAGTACTTCTTCTTTGGCCATTAGCCCACTGAGAGACCTTGCGAAAGATTTCCGTAGGTACTTTAGGTGGGTACAAAATAAATTATTTTCTGCCTGCTAACAATAAACAAAGCCCACCTCTGTGGAAAATCCGATTATCAAGTCACCATGGTAACAACAAACAGCCCCAAGGTCTTTTGCAGACACTGGTGTGCCTCTTCACAATTTGAGGAATGTTTCTCCATCTTACTTCCTACCACCCAAAATATGAGTGCCATATATTTCCCTTCAGGAAAGAAAATAAAGAGCTGTAGCAAAAGTCTTCCCTCCGCTGCCCTCTACCAAGAGGAGAAAAAGGGCCGCTTGCAGTGGAAGGTTTGTGTGAAGGCGTTGCCGAGGGTGACCACGCGTCCCTGCCCCCCCGAGCGGCTGCGCTCCACCACCACCCGCGGCATCTGCACCAGCTGGATGGGGCTCTTCCCGTCCTTCAGCGCCTGGGTCAGGTTCAACACCTGGTGATAAACAGGGGTGGTCATGTATGACATACAGAAAGCAGTTTTCATTGTTGCATTGCTTGATTTTGAGAGTATGTGAAGTTAAAGGGATAATTGAGAGGGCTTGATGAGGTACTGATCCATAAACACTGTTATATGAAGCATACAAAATGGTGATGATGGCTGCCGTGTCTTTGGCTCTTCTCCATATCTGCAGTTTTTTCGTTATATTTCGGTGTTTATTTACATTTCGTTGTGTGCTTTTCAAAACAATCTCTTGCACTATTTCATCCGTTTTATTTGTTCTATCCTATATATATATATATATATATATATATATATATTCATGTTGCACTGTTGGAGGAGCCTGTGACTTAAGTGTTTCATTGCCATATCTACACTGTAGCTAATGTGCACATGCCAATAAAGCCTTGAAACTTGATCTACAGACAATGATCTACAGACCACTTATGGTTTGGAAAAGGGCCACCTAAAGTATTCAATTGATTGATTGAGTGCTATATTTTCACAACTTTATTCTGCTCCGAGAGACCTTTCCTACAGGGAACTGAAGTCGTAAAATACTCCATTGACAAAAACAGTCATTTTACCTTGCAGAACAAAAGACTGGCTTCTTACCGCTGCAATGATAAGCTTGTTTGTGTTGTTGTGTGACCTTTGTGATTCCGAACTAACCCTTTCAAAAGCACAGCATTTGCTCCATGACCAGAGGTGGGAGAAGTACTCAGATCTGAAGCTGGTAAAGGTGCAGCTAGCTGTAATGACTTTGTATACTGCAGGGTAGCTTGTGAATTTACTCCAGGTGGAACTAAAGTCTGATTTAAGTGTTGATTATATTTCACATCATTCATGCAAATCTGTAAAGTAACTAAGGGCACAACATAAATGTAGTGGAGTAAAAGCACAGGATTTACCTCTGAATTGTTGTGGAGTAGAAGTACGAAATAGCATAACATGGAAACACTCCAGTAAAGTACAAGTATCTTGAGTAAATGTATGACATAGTTACTTCCCACCTCTGCTCCATAACCCAAAGCTACTCTTGTGTTCTTCAGGCAACATCGACAGCTTCAGCTCTCTGTAATGGCTGTCTGACAGCAACGTAAAATGGTGAAGATACTCCTAAAGGAGCATACACATAAACTTTAGGTGGCTGAAATGTGTTTTGATGCTGCACCTGTCCACACCAGTAAAGTTTCTTTAAACTGGGGAGGGCGGCTGACTGCAAACTACTGTAGTAATGCACTGACTATGGATAAGTACCTCATACAACCACACTTAAAAAAAATCCAAAACTACCCTGATTATGCTCGCCTG